CCTTATCTAGACCCCCGTCCCCCACAACCACCATGATTCCCCCACTTGACCCCAAGCTGGAACTTGAATGTGGAGAGCTGGAAAGTAGACCTTATTTGCTGTCCTCCAGCTCTGCGCCCTTCTTCTCTTTGCCCTTTTCCCTCAACTATACCTTGCAATCAGAAGGGTCAGGCACCTCCTTTCCTTTATATCCATTTTTTGAAAGTATTTAACCCCATTTACAGAAGAAAGAATGTCTTCTCTCTACCATGAGGGAGGTTCATGTGGTAAGGAGACGCTAAATGGACCTGGGCTACCCTCTCTCTGGGCCAGGCCTGGAGTCCTACCTTGATTGTCTGTTAAAGAGGTCAATTCCTCTACCGCTCCTGCTTAGGGAGAGAAACCTCCTGATTTTACAAGGAGGAAAGCAGTGAGGGAAAAACTGACATATGCAACTGTATATATCCGCTGACTATTAATCCTTTGTCCCACATCTGAGGGCCTGTTTTACATTCTCTCCCCTCCCAGCCTCACTGGCATGTGGGAATGGGGCAGCTGTCCCACCCCGGGAGCAGAGTAGGAGAATCTGGCAAGGGCTTGAGGGCCGCCTTCCCCACCCAAGGGGGCTTCCTAACTCAGAAACCCAGCTTTGGAATCCAGGAAAGGCAGAACACTCATTGGTCCTTCTCCTGGGTGGGTCCAGGTCCCTTTCTATGTCAAATAATAGAAACCTCCACCCAAATTTATTAAACTAAGGAGAGAATTGTTGGCTCACATCACTGAAGAGTCTGGTTTTCCAGTTTGGGTAGTAGTTTTAGGCCTTGCTGAGTCTAGGGGCTCAACCAGCTCCACAAGGCAACCCGTGGCAGTGCCGGCTCATCTCGGCTTCTACTGGAGTAAGGCCACCTGATCCTGGGAAACCACACCGGCCCCACACTGAAGGGGACTACCTGTTTGGTTAGCTGGGGCCAGGGGGTGGCAAGAGAAGTTTGGGTCCCCGCATTTGAGGAGATGGTTCAGTGTTAAAATTAGGGCAGTCCCAAGCAAGCTGGAGCAGTTGGTCACCTTGGCCTGCAATGACATCTGCTTCTTGTTTCCCCACTTTTTAACCAAACTCTGTCACTGTCCTCCTTTACTGCACTTACCTGTTCTTGGATCTAATGCAGGAACCCCGAGTTTGCTTTTGCCAGCCTTGGCCCCTCAGACTTCAGTGGAGAAGGGCTTTTGGTTCTGTTGTTGAGGTTCCTGTTGCCAGAGCTGTGTCTGGGCTGCTTTATCCTCGTGGGGTATTCCCCAGCCCCCTTAATAAAGCCATGTCAGATGAACTCACGTGCAGTGCATCTGCTCCCACAGAGAGGATGGCCCTTCCCACCACTCCCTTACCCCTTCCTCCAAACTGCTTCTCCCTCTGCTCCCTTGCCGGGTGAGTAGACAGCACCACCTCCCATCCAGGTCCCTGAGCCTGAAACCCCCAGAGCCATGCAGGGCTCCCTACAGCCCCTCTGATGGTCAAAAGTCCTGCCTTCTCAGCCTCTACGGGCTTAGTCCCTTTGCTTCCCACAGCAATTGCCCTCATTCACCAATTACTTTCCTGCCCTCCCATGCCCCACCCTCCCTACCGCTGCCAGAGGGGTGGGTCTTTTCTAAGATATTAGGACGACATCCTCGAAGGCTCTTGCTGAATGTCCAAGCTTTCTTCCTCCACTGCAACTTTGCACATACTCCCCCACCTCAAATGCCCTGAGCAGAGCACCGATGACAAATGTCTGTTACCCTATGGCCCTTCTTTGCCCTGATGCTACAGCAACTTTGCTAGCCGATCACATCACACAGGAAGCCTGGGCACCTTTCCTCCCATCCTTCAAGCTACCCACCCCAGTGGGTCAGAGCTGGCACCAAGGGCATATCTATTTGGCATGCTGGTCCTAACTGCTTCCTTCTCTGGCTCCCTTAAATTGTCCTGTAGGTGTCGGCTCAGGAGGTTCCATGTCACCTCTGCCAGGAAGTCTTCCCTGATTTGCTGTTTCTCTTAATCTGCTTTCAGTCTCACCCTGTGTATAATATATCTATAGTTATATATCTCAGAACATTTCTTATGCAGAATTTTAATAATGTACTTGCTTGTCACACTAAAATGTGACCTTTTTGAAGGTGCGTGAAATGTCTCAGTAATCTTCATATTTCCAGGACCCAGCACAGAGCCTGGTATACAATAGATACTCCAAAATCTTGATTGGGTACACAAATGAGTGAATGACTGGGTGATTGAATGAATGAATAACCTGGTCTGGCCAGGTTGTTTTGAAGGTGAATGAATCAAAAGTTTATTAAGCCTCTTTGAAAAAGAAAATCAATTTGCTTCTCCCTTCCCTGTAGCTGCAAGAGAAGGTCATACTTCTCAGCCACTTGCCAAGAGATGAAGCTGAACCTGTTTGTTTCAATCAGTGAGTCTGGAGAGCAAGCAGTTGCCTCACCTTCCCGTGAGGAGCAGTGTGAGTCATATGCGTCCTCACCTTTCACAGTGCACAAATCTAGGCCACCCTGGGTCCTTCAGCTCGTTCTCCTGGGTCCTAAATTTTTTTCTAACATGTGTGTGTGTGTATGTATGTATGCATGCACGCACACGTGTGTGCATGTGTGTGCACCCCTGCATATGCATGTGTGTCTATGTGTGTATTTATGCATATGTGCAAGCCACCTAGTTATATGCAGAATCTCGTCAGTTATTTGAGTGCACCTAAGTGCATTCAGCAGGGGATGATCAGTAATTTCCCTCAGCTTCTCTCTGGGCCATGTGCTTGGTCTCATGCTGAGAAGGAGTCTTTATGGTGAACTGTGGCTGATACTAGCCTGATCTTTGGTACTTTGGATCCATTTCTCTTTTTATTCTCTTTTTAGTTCAAAAACCCAGTTGGGAGATTGAGAATTCTAATTCAAAAAGATGTTATTTTCTAGAAGAATGCCAGAAGAAAGGGGCAGTCTCTTGAGCGTATGTTCCAATGTTACACTTTTGCCTGGGTCCTCAGGGAGCTACAGAATGGTCTTTGCCTTTGATTTAGGCCATGTTTCTGCTTTCCCTATGAAAGCTTCCCTTCTCACTGCAGAGCTGCTGTCCCAGAGGTCTCTAGAGAGGCTCTCTCTGCCCACAAAGCCCTTGGAGGCAGCAGAATGCATAGGGGGCATGGCAATGCTGGGAGACACAGTGACACTGTGGGACATGGTGACATTAGAGGACACAGTGACAATAGAGAACACTGACACTGGGGACATGGTGACACTGGGGGACATAGTCACCCTTCTTTCCCTTCTCAGTCCCTCAGTAAGGACCAAGAAGGATGCACATTATCACAAGTGAAAATGGAAATCAAGTGGGAAGAAAAGTTAGTCCTGCAGGAGGACATGCTTGGGTAACAGCATCTGCACTAACATCCACTGCAGGGATGTTAGTGGGAGATCTAAGAAAGCAGCTTAAAGGGATTAGTTGGGAGGGAGGAACTTGAAGGAGCTAATTATAAAGTTTGTACCAGAGATGAGAGAGGATCATAAGACCTCTTTGTGCACCACCATTTTGAAAATGAGAGAAGAGTTCTGAGATGAATGTGGCTAGATAGAGAGCAAAGGTAAGGAAGGGAGATGTGAGCACCACTGAGCCATACGTGGGATTCGTGGCTACAGCAGGGAAGACCATGTTTACTTGCAGTGTGCACATCTATGAGGGTCCTGCTGTGGTCTGGACCATGTGGAAGTGGGGACGACTCTTTACCTAATCATAATTCATCAAGTGTCAGCTTAGTGACAGGATTAAGCACTATTACGAGGATCTGTGAAATATGGGCATTAGAAATCAGTGTGTATTTCCTGGATCCCTGATCTATGCCAAACATGGGGCTCAGAGCCCCGGGGAGTACAGGTTTGCTTCACAGGCTTGGGGTACTTGGCCAAGAAGGATACAGGCCAGGGATATAGGAAATGTCAGGGGAGTTGTACTGAAAATGGGGGTTGCCCCAGACTAGGCGGTTGGGGCAGGCTCCACAAAGGAGGGAATCCAAGGCAGGGTGCAGAAGAATGGGGGTTGCCATGTGGGGAGAGCCTCGGAACCAGGAGGCTAGATGGGAGTGGAGAACTCCTGTGGGAAAGAAGCAGGAGCTGAGGCTCTAAGGGGGAAGTCAGAAGGAAGCCTGAGGGACCCTTGAATTGTAGGGTAACAAGCCTGAGCTTCTTCTCCAGACACTGGGGAACCATTTGAAGGGTTTGGAGCATAGGAAATGCCCAGGTAAAAACTGGGTTTCAGGACAAATTGGCCAGCAGGTGCACAGAACAGAGCATGGCAATGACAGGGAGAGCCTGTGGGAGGCTTTTCCAAAGTCCCAGGCAAGACAATGGGGCTTTCCTGAAGTGGGACTAGAAATGAATACGTGGATGAAAGGGATCGACCCTATCAAGGCTGGGCTAAGCCCCCAGTCTCCCACGTCGATGGCAGTGGGCTGGGGTACTCTCCCATAGGGTCCATCATGCATCTTCCAAAGACTTTGGAGGGATGGGAGGAGGGGGGCATTCTTTCTACGTCAAAGCAAACATTACCAGATAATAAAGAGAAGACATGGTGGGTTACAAGTCTCCTTGTCTATACTCCTGTCCCAAGGGATTCTGCTCACCTGGCACCAGAAGACATGAATCCAGAGAGCTGGAAATTCCCCTGTTACACATGAGACCTGGCCCTATGCAGAATGAATATGGCTGCATGTTACAGGTGGGATCCACCAAGACACAGATTATGTCATTAACCTCCTGGGTCACACAGGTAGTAAGTGGGGTTTGGGATTTGAATTCATATCTATCTGGTACCAGACCTTTGGCCTTCCTTCTATTCCATCAAAATGGATTAACGAGCTTCTACGTAGCTGAGTGGTACAAAATTGGGATGGTCTGGAAGCACCTCTGTAACAAAGGGGAGAGAGGAAATGTAAACTCCCCTGGGTTGTCTCTGACTCTCCTCTTCCTCTGATCCATTCCAGCTGCCTGGGCCTCTCCACCATGAACAGCACCTTGAGGGATGCCCAGGCCCCAAGCCACCGTGAGTGCCTCCTGCCTTCCATGGCCCGGAACCCCTCTGTCACCCAGGTCACGCCAGCCAAGAAGATAACCTTCCTCAAGCGAGGGGATCCCCGGTTTGCTGGGGTTCGCTTGGCTGTTGACCAGCGCGTGTTCAAGAGCTTTGGCGCTCTGATGGACGAGCTCTCTCAGCGTGTGCCTCTCTCCTTTGGGGTGCGCTCTGTCACCACGCCCCGGGGCCTTCATGGCCTCAGTACCCTGGAACAGTTGGAAGATGGTGGCTGCTACCTCTGCTCTGATAAGAAGCCCCCCAAAACACCCAGTAGGCCAGTCTGGCCACAAAGGAGAAGCCCATCTGCTCAGCAGTCAAGGGATTTTGAAAGCCGATGTGAGGCACCAGGAACATCCTCTTCCTGCAAGGGTCCTAAGGCCCCAAGGAGGATAATGCTGGTTAAGAATGGAGACCCTAGATTCCAGCAGACAATGGTTCTCAGCCATAGAAATACAAGGAACCTGTCGGCCTTTCTCAGCAAAGCCTCAGATCTTCTGCACTTTCCTGTGAAGCAGGTGTACACGACAAGTGGGAAAAAGGTAGGCTGTTGGGGTATGCTATTTCCTTTAAAAAGCTCTCTGGACCTCAGATCAAAATACTTAGATGGAATGGGGAGGTTATTCTTTACAAAGAGGCACTGATTGCCTTGCTACTAATTAAAGGTGAATTAAAGGAGTGGAGACATGTAGTCAGTTAAGTAAGCAATTATTATTTGTATTTTGCTTACCGTTTAGTGAGTGCTTAGTGAGTGCCAGACACTGTGCTTTGCACACTTTTATTATTTTCTTATCCAATCCTTCTATTATCCAATACCATCTATTTCAGGGAGAGTTCAGTGCAGAAAACAAAAACTCCTCAAAGTACCTTGAGCAGAAAATAATCTAATGCAGGACATTAGGGGATTCCCAAATCTTTGGACAGCTGGAGGCATGAGCTCTAAGCTGGGTCTACAGGAATAGCTCCCAGCATTCTGCAGGAAGCTACTACCCTGCTTGAAGCTACTGTGATTATTGAGTTCAAGAATACTTCTCTATAGTGGCATCCAAGCTTATAAATCTGGGATCAGGAAACTGCCACAATTGCATCTTAACACTCTTGACATGCAGGAGCTTTGGGGTGCCGGGTCTAGCCTGCTGCCTGGGCTGCTATGGCCTTCTGGTACCCACACATTTGCTTCACAGCAACAACAACCAGAAGCGAGAAGAGATGGTGTCTGCCTCACTTGCTTTCCCAGACTTGATCAAATGCATCTAATTGATGGAGAACCCAATCTGCATATAGCCCGAACTGTGAAGAAGGCTAGGGAATAATTTTTGCCTTTCCAGCTCCTGCAGAACATGAATGTACACTGTAGGTGCACAGGATGGAGGATGGAGGTGGCTTGATCTAATCAACAGTTTCCCCATAATCTAATCCTATCACTACTTAACACCTGTGTACACTATTCTACCACTACTTAAATTTACAAGCCGCAGCTACAGCAGCATGTTCCCACCTAAGTATGTAGCTGTCTTTCCAACAATCAAAACATATTCGCCTTCCCCCCAGAGTCACATCAGCACTGTACCATCCATCCTCTGGGCACAAGCCCACCTTTGTAGCCTCTGTCTTAAGACTTAACTATCAAGTCACCAAAATACCTTATAAAAAGTGCTAGAGGGAGGCAAGGGCAAAACATAGAAAATTGATTCATGCCTAGCAGAGTTGTGAAGAAAACTAGGTTATCTACTGCAAGGCCATTGATGGTATTAGGTTTCCTTCTACTGTCCATTTCATGTTCCCTCTGCCCTCTGCCAGCACCTCAGCTGAATGTGGTTATGGATATGGTAGAATGGCTGGACCAATTCCATCATCTGAATTATGGTGCGTTTACTACGTGCTGCATGTGCTACATCATTCTTATGGACTCAGCCCTTGGAGGTCCTTCCTGAGCCGTTGTAGTCTTGTGTTAATTTTTAACCCTGAATATGGCAGCCACAGAAAGCACTCAAGGGATTCCCTGGGCTATAGATTACTTTCCCCCGACTCTATTTGCATAACAGCAACCCTATTCCCCCTAACCAAGTTTGAATAGGATCCAAACTCTCATTCTGAGAGACCCATTACAGAATCAATCACCCCATTCAACACAGAACCCCCCTGTTGCCTGTTGGTTCATTGTTGCAAGGATCCCCATATGGCCAAGTGACTGTCTCAACTTTCAGCTTCCCTGACTTGCTGTGTGTCTCCTGGTGGGAACATTTTCCCTTGGACCCAGAGACCTCCAAACTAGCAGAGCCTGAAGTTTTTGGGATGGGAAGCAAAATGTCTGTAGCTAGGTCATAGGTGTAATAGTGAAAGGAGCTGCTCATATTCCCACCCCTTAATTCGCAGGTATCTGTTGTCTGTGGAGAAACAGCACTATACTGTATCGTGGTTGCCAGTCCAGAGCACATATCACATCCTGCAAGATAATGCCTCAACATTATAAAGTGATTACTTTCAGTTGGTGCCCATAGAATGAGCCACCGTTCTATAAGTTATAGCTACTTTTGGGTGATGTAGTATATGGCTACACAGTGAATTCCATGGGTGTTAGTGCATTGCCTCAATTCTTTTGTTACAAAATCAGTTCTTTGGATAGAAGTAATCCTCATGGATTATGGCAATGATGAATGAGGTATTCAGTAAGTCCACGGAAGTATGTGGGCAAGGAAGAAAATACGTATTCAAAATTAGTGCCTATTCCAGTGAATCCACATTTCTGACTCTCCCCATGATGGAGGGGTTCAATGTCATTAGCTTCCCATGAGATGGCTTGCTGAGTACCTCAAGGTATGCTGCAAATCACAAGTGTTTTGGCACAAGTTTAGCATGGATCTCTGCTCTTAGAAGATTGGACCCTTAGCAGACATGGCAGTCAGACCCACATGAATAAGGTAGTTCACATTCCTAGTTCAAGTTTACTTTGTCACTCTGTTCATAATCAAGTTGAGCACACCTTGGGGTGGTTGGAGGAAAAGAATGACTAACATCCATTGAACAGGTCATTTGTCCACATGATTATCACCTTCTGGTGAGCATTCAATGGGACACAAATGTTCTCGTTCTCTAGGCACATTCTGGGAGACCCATTTACAGATTCTTCTCTAGAGTTCCTTGTCACCAGCCCTCCAGTCTTGTTCCTTCCAAGGCCTTGATTGTCGGATTGAACTGCTAACTCCTGCCTATGAATTGCCATAGAACCTCCTGCCATTGCTCCTTCCATGAAAAGTAGCCGATCAAATAACATTGTCCCCTGTACTTTCCTTCCCCACTGCCCTTTATGACCCCCAAGTGGGTCTGTAATGGTGCAACAGTCAACTTTTGACTTGTATCAGCATATCCTGTGAAATCATCTGAAACCCAGAATCAAATATTTTCTTCTTCAGTTAACTGGTCATAGGGAACTCCCCCAGGAAGTTTTAGGTGTGCGGGAAGGAAAGATGGCAATGCAGCAGAAGCAGGTGAACTGGGGGTGTGGCTCATGCAATTTACTTATGTCTTCCGTTCAAATGCCTGGAGCCTGATCTAGTACATGTCACCACCTCCTGATGATGGGGTCCTGCTTTGACACACTTGCTTTATGGCTTGACAGATCACACAACAATCATTTCAGTTGTATTTCAACAACTAGAAGGATCAGTTTCTGCAGCTGATGTTTGCTACAAGAGAAAAGAGATTCTTTTATAGTAGTAGAAGCACCTAGGTCCTCTGGCCATCCCTGAACTGAGAGTTTAGACCTCGAGCTTGCCATTTTCTTTAAGTCAGAGAAGCCAGCCTACTCCATAGTCCTTGAAGCTCTCATTCTCATTAGAAAGATCTATCATGACAGCCAGTGATTGTCAAAGTCCTGCTCTCAGTTAAGCACTGCATTCTACTATCAGAGGTGATCATTCAAGAACCTGTTTTATCACTTTTTGTCTTAGGCCACCAGTGTCGCATTATAACCAGACTATCACTGCCTTCAAACCCAATCAGGTCAAATAATTAATCCAAGACTCCTCCCCTTGAGGGTCTATTGCCTGCAACAACCTCTGATACTGTACATTGAATCAGTCATGATTCAGTATAGGAAACAGAAACCTCTGTACGTATCTTAAGCATGAAGAAATTATACGCAGAGAGTTTTGTGCTTAAAGATTGGAAAGCTGGAGGAGCGTAAGCTTGGTTTCTGGAAATAATTCCCAGAATATCACAGAATTGACCTATCTGGATAGATACCTCTAACACAATCAAGCAAGTGGGTTGTTGGGGTGATGTCCCTGGAATAATTGAGTTCAGTATTAGTCCACCATTGCTGTGGTCTGGAATGAGGCAGGTCATGTGCCACTGCTGTCTGTTGATATCCAGAAAGCTGGTGACTGGGTACTGGAAAAATGAGTGTGGCTTTTGCCATTGCAGCTGCACATGCCTCTTTATGTCTTTGACTTTTTTCTTGTGGCAACAGTCAAAAGCAAAAGAAAGATGGGTTCTACTTCACTGTCATTTCTCCTACCTTGTACCAGTGCATCTAATTATTGGAAATGATTTCATGGTTAGAAGTCTAGCTGCAAGGGAGTCCAGAAAATGTATATAGAGCTTTGTACACTCTGCCATACTGGAAATTACACCAGAAAGAGAGTAAAACAGAGGTTGACTAATCTAGGACATGACATCTACCACACAAACTCACAAGGCAATTCATGTTATTATTTCTTTTGTATAGGTAAGAAAATTGAGGCACAGAGGTTAAGTAATTGGCTCATAGTTGCATGGCTGGCAAATGATAGAATCGACATTAATAATGTCAGTCATAATGTAAGAAAACTCCTAAATTATGGCACATTTGCTATGTACCAGCATGTGCTTCATGCAGAGGATACAGAAAATAAGTCTAGGTCCCTACCTTCAATTAGCTACAGTTTAGTGGGTATGGCGAAATGGAGAGAGCAGGTACAGAAGTAAGTTAATTGGAGAAAAAAATATTAGTGTATTTTCTTATAGACTTAATGCAGAACTATTAGAGTTTCTGTAAACAAAATGGTCTCATTGCTCCCCAGGGCAGGCTGTGGCATGATTATCAGTTTTCAGGTCCTCAACTGGGTGAACACTCTCAATATACTCTCAATAACTCTCTTTTTTTGTGTGTGGATCCTAAACCTTGACCTTTTTCTAGAATGGAAGCATCATTTAACCCTGAGTTCTTTTTTTTCCTCCTTGGAAAAGTCTGATTTCCTAGAAGTATGACTACTCTAAATTGATAGACTTGGGTCAGGTAGTCCATTTGGCTTCTTGTTGTATAAGGGATATGAATACATTGATATGTCTCTATAAATTGATAGACTTGGGTCATGTTTGCATTTTTGTGATGCACTAGAGCTCTAAATCAACAAAGAAATGTGCTTAGTAGTTTGAAAGAAACTTCTAATCAACTAGGTTGAAAGATCTGGTGTACAGCTAATTTAATGTCATTTGTGGGGAGAGGATGCAAGAGTTCTCTTTTTCTCATTTCCTTGCTAATGAACATACCCTTCTAATTTGAGAAAATAAAGAAGAACAAATTCAGCCCTTTGAAGATGAAACTAAATCCCCCAACACTGCCAGTTACTATATAATGTCATAAATAGTGCAAAGTCTCACATGTGCCGTAGGGGCCTCAGGGCCATGTGAGATTTTTCTAAAAGCAGGGACTTGTTTCCTGGAATGCAATGTTGCCTGTTCAGCATCCAGCCCAGGATGTCCTAGGGTGGGTGGGAAAGGATGGCATAAGCCTCTGAGCAGGACCCTAGGGAATCATTGGAGGAGCCTGTAGAGAGAGCAGCCTTGCCCTTCCCTGTTCCAGAAGGGCTGAAAGCAGAGGTGATGGGCTCGAGATTATACTGGAAAACACAGATTGGACCCAGGAGAGAACTCTTTGTGAGAAGTGAGTGAGATAGTGAATCAGATCTCTATAGGGAAACTGGACGCCTTTCTGTTCTGGTTGCTTTAAAAAAAATACATATTCTGGAGGCTGCAAGGGTGGGCAGGGAAGCAGGCCAAAGACTTTTTGAAATGTTTTCCACCTGAGGCATCCAGAAGAACCCCTAAACCACAGGCCTTAAACCGGGTGGGGGGAGGGGTATATGGAGAGAAGAAGGTGATGGTGATAGGACCTCTGCCCCCAGCTAGTTATGGAGGTATTATGGCAAGTGGGTAGGACAGAATTCTGGGGTGAGATATGCAAACTTCAGGAAAGGGCCAGAGTGATGGGATTCTTCCTCTACCAATGTCTCCCTGGGTAGAAGAGGGGCTCTGCAAACCGGGCCTCCTAATTCAACACTCTCCTTCTTCAGGTGGACTCTCTGAAGGGTCTGCTCCGCAGTCCTTCAGTGCTAGTATGTGCTGGCTACGAGTCTTTCAAACCTCTGGCAATGGAAGATTCTAGAAGATACGGAACTGAAACTTTATCTGGGCAGACTCCAAGAAACAAAACCGGTGAGTTAGTTTTGGAGTTTTCCGAATTTTATTTGCCCTAGATAGTGGTTCAGTAGGACTAAGCAGATATCCTTTCTAGATAATTTTAAAAACCTGCCTTTTGGCCCAAATTTTTGGGTATCCCACTTTTTTGGGGTCACCCTTGCCTCTTCCTCTTTCTTACTGCCATCTACCTTAATTGGGTTGAAATTTGCCTGGTGTATGAGAGGGGGGAGTCTGGTATTTAAAGAAAATAGGGATTAGGAAATCTTGAACTCTAAATTTCTAGGATCTAAAATAAGCTTTATTAAGGACCATGATGGGCAAGACATTATGGAGGCAATGGACCATGGGTATGTGGCATTTGCACCTTTCAAGAGTCATAACTCCCTTAAACAACAGTAGAAGCCAAATGGACTAAAACTAACAATAACCATTGATCCTCCATCTATTCATCAGTCTATACATCTAACTGTATGTATATCTCTCCCAAAAGCCTACTATGTGCCAGAGTGTAGGTGTTGTTATTTAAAAACACATTATTTTAAAGGCATAATTAACAACTGCAGGTTGAAATTTTCAGCAAAATTATTGGAATGGAAATGGGCAAATTTGGTGAATAAACAAAATAATATCCTTTGTGAAAAGCTACTAAGAAATGACAATAATGGTATTAGTGATCACTGCATGCCAGGTGCTAGAGGTACAAGGACCTATTAGCCACAGAGCCCCCTTTGGAGTAGATCCTAGTCTCATTAGGTGCTTATGGAAGAGCAGAGCTTGGCGAAACCTTCTGTCTAGATGGACTCAAGTAGGGGGATCTGTTCTTTTGCTGGCCATAGGCTCAGCCTCCACTAGCCTTTTCTTCTTGCCAGTCAGGAGGAGATGAAATGAGAAAGTACTAAAGGCTTCATTCCTACTTGGGACCACTTCTTTCTTCCTTCAGTGGCTCCCTTTTCTTCTCTTTTTCATGGCTAGAGTGCAGGCTTGACTATCAAGACTTGCTATTGTGTGTCCAGGTCCTTCCTTGCAATCATTTATCAACCCCAAAGCTTGATGAGTGTTAGGATGATAAATCACCACTAATAACTGCAAAGCATCTTACAGTTTACAATCAGGCACCTTTACAGCAGCTTACTGATTTTGCTTCCTGTGTTGGGGGTGGGCATGAGCTGGGCCCAGAGTTAGCTCTGGGCCCTGCTGCTCTGCCTGCCAACTCTGTTGTCTATCGAAAACATACTTTGTGCTAACAACTCTGCAGAAAGTTTTACATGCATTGCCCTGCATCGTCAAAACAAACCTACCATTATTATTTTACAACTCAGTAAGGAGTCTCTGCCAAAAACAACACAGCAAGGAAATCGCAGCGTTGAGACTGAATTCAGATGCTAAGTTCATCTCACTAGGCTTTGCTGGTTCACAGATTGCAGACTGGATATTCATTCTAGAATGGTTTCTGCCCTTACTTTGTGGTTTTGGGGGTGGCAGGGGTATTTAAATGATGAAAGCCTCATGACTAGCCTTTATTCTCTGATCCTGAAGCTCCCCCTAGTAGCTCACTGTCTTTCCTCTTTTCTCTTACTTTCATCGTGTGCCAGGAAGCTGGGGGCCAAAGGCCAAGCAGAGTGTGATCCACTCAAGGTCCAGGTCGGGCAGCCAGCCACGGCGGTTTTCCTTGCTGTCAGAGAGGTCTGGTCTCAGCGACCCCCCGGTGTCCCTGCATCACGCTCAGACGGGCCCTGCTCCTGACAGACACCCTCAGGACACGCCTGCCCAGCTTGGCCCATTGGTGGCCAGTGACGATGTTGAGAAAAAGGTCCGCATGAACGAGGATGGCAGCCTGTCTGTAGAGATGAAAGTCCGCTTCCACCTACTTGGTGAGGACGCACTCCTGTGGTCCAGGAGGGTGGGGAGGGCCAGTGAGGAGGTCCCTGTCTTGGGGGAGGTGGACTCCCTCCACTGTGTGTGGGAGGATCACCCTGGGGGTTCCCCAGAGCCTGGGGCACAGGGACAGGGGCCCTGTGAGGCAGGATGTGAAGAAGCCCTTGGCCGAGGCCGGTGGCAGCCAGGCACCAGGTATGAGATCTGGATGAACCCCCTGTACTTCACCCAGGGAGAGGGGACAGCCTCTCGGAGGAGATCCAGGCTGACCCAACACTCCCATTCCAGGAGGCCCTGTAGCCAAGTGTTCACCAGTAGGAAAAGAAGCAGCGAGGACAGTGTCAGCCCTACCTCTAGGGACAGACCCCCCAAAGACTCTGAGCCAAACTCCTCCTGCTGGTCCAGGTCTCTGGAAGGCAGCGTGGACAGCTGCGACCTACATTCAGCCTCAGGGGCTGCCTCCTCCCAGAGGGGAGCAGGGTGGGAAGCTGGAAGCCCATCCTGGACTAGTGAGGGCCCAGGTCCACAGGAAGCAGGGCAGGGCAGCAGGGAGCCCCACAGCTGCCTGAAGCCCCAGACCCGAGGCACGGCAGGTGCTCTTTCTGACTCCTCGGAGAGTGCTGAGTCTCTCGAGGAGCCTAGTGAAAGGGGTAAGCGGCACCAGGGCTGCCTGAGCAAGACAAGGGCCGTGACTACTTCCCGGACAAAGGCCATTCAGGGGGAAGGCCCCAGTCCGCCCACGGTGAGTCCCTGGTCTTTGAGGAACGAGGACTCTCAGGCAGAGGACAGTGGACAGGGTACCAGGCACTCCCAGGCTAAGGGTAGGTCTGGGAGGAGACCACCCCTGGCTCCAGGTCATTCTGGCTCTGGGGACACTGCAGGCCATTCTCCACCTTCTGCCTCAGTCCCGGGCGGGAGGAGAAAGCAGGGGGGCAGAGTCAGTGCTGTGCCCTCACCCAGCATTTCTGGTCTCAGCCAAGGGGCTCAGAGAGGCCACCCCAGGCAGAACCACACCCAAAGGCATGCCCACCGCCCACCTGACTCACCTGTGCCCAGGCAAATGCCGGGACCGCCCAGCAGATACAGGGCCTGCCCAAATGGCTCAGCACCACCCCTTTCTGCAAGCTCACTCAGGGCCGGGAACCGGGCCTCCCAGGACACAGGGCCGCTCTCCTCTGCCTCTCTTCATTCCCAGTCTGCACAGGGGGTCTGCAGTGCTCTCATTACCCCTGTGAGCAATTCTGACTGTGCTTCCAATTTCTACCCCCCATACTCTCCCTCTGCTGAGACCGAAGGGGACCCTGAGTTCAGGGCACGCTCATTAGCTCCCACACCTTCCAACCCATCAGACTCTTTGAGCAGCCAAGCTGATGGTCTGGACAAAAAGGCAGGGGGCGGCATTCCCAAGCCTTCCCGGCCTTTAGTTCTGCCAGTTGGACAGTCCGAGGGAGGGATGCCGGGAGCCCACAGAGGCTGCGACTGCTCACCGATCAGCACATGCCTGTTCCACAGGACCCCCAGTGATAAGACTCATGCCCTGCAGACCGCCCAGCCACTGCGCAGCCAGGGGCCCTTCTCTGAGGTCCCCTTGGTATGCAGCAGATACTGTCCCACCCCGCCAAGGACATGGCCTTTTGTCAAGAAATACTCTTCGTGTCGCAGCAACCCCAGTGCTGACTGGGGGCCAGGCGGGGGAGAGCTGGGGGAGGGAAAGCTTGAGGCATGGTGCCCCTGGCCCCCCGGCTCTCAGTCAGGGGCCATGGGGAAAGCAGTCAGAGCCTCGAGAAGGGGCAGCTCCAGCTGTGGCCCCAGGTCTGGGAGAATATTCCAGGGAGAGAAGGTTGCTGGTGGAGGGGAAAGCCTAGAAGGGCAAGAGAGAGATAGCAGAATGGCGCTGGGTGCTCTGCCCCAAGCCTCACCAGATGCTGTGGTCCGCGAATGGCTGAGCAACATCCCAGTGGAGCCCATACCCATGAAATGTGAGATGGTGGGTGAGAGCACAGTTGTGGCAGGGGATGACCCAGAAGGCCCCAAGGAGGATCCTGTTGACAAACGTTCCCCAGAATGTCTGGGGGAGCCAACGCAGGTCAGACAACCGTCACACGAAGGGGCCGCCAGCGAGAGAGCAGAGCCAGACGGAGCCCTCCCGGTGACTGGTGATGCTCATCCCAAGTCAGAAGAGGATCTTCCTTGTAGCGGAGTTTCAGAAGACCCCAGGGAGGCTGGGTCAGGCAAAGGCATGGCCGTGGACTGTTCAGTGGGCCCGTGCGTGCTTCCGCACAAGGTCTCTGCCTCCATACAGATCATGAAAGCACTAATGGGCTCCAAGCAGGGCCGGCCCAGCAGCCTGCCCGAAGTGTCCAGCACAGCGGGCAGGAGGCTCAGCTGCTCTGCCCAGGCCCTTATCACCTGTCTTGCTGGGCTCCACTTCTTTGATGAAGACCTTGGGTCTCCCACTGGCAAAGTGAGGTTCATAGACTCTCCTCGGTACCAGGAGCTCCTGAGCACCTTCCAGGCCCTGTGGCCGGGGTGCGGCCTCAGGCGTGGTGAGCTGGACTCTGGCCTCTGGGAGCTTGGCTGGTGCCAGGCTCTGCCGGGCCTCAGGTCTGACGTCATGACGGAGGACTTCACACTGACATCCTCATCTGGTGTGGATGTTGGCAGTGGCTCCAGAGGCTCAGGGGAGGGCAATGGACCCTGTGCCATGGAGTGTGCCCTGGTCCCTGAGAGGGTAGCCCTGCCCTTGAAAATCCCCTCCCAGAGGCCTGATTCTAGAACCTCCGAGAACCAAGAGGATCCAGAAAACCAACAGCTGAGTGGTTCCACGGCCTCTTCAAATTCCCAAGCATGGGCTTGTGCCAGCAGAAAAGATGAGGCAGACAGAAACAGTGGGGGGCAGGTTCTGGGCAGGAACCTGGACCAAGTAGTTGAAAACACAATGCAAGAAGAGGAGGTACTGCTAGAGAAAGTCAGAGAAGAAAAAGAAATCGCAGCACTGCAAGGAGATGGTGTCCAGGGATTCCCAGAAGAGGGAAGAGTCATGGGACAAGAACTGTCAGAGGCCGACTCTCAGGATGGGGAGGGTTCACAGGAAGATAAGAGTGTGCAGGAAGAAGAGGCAGGAAGAGACCCTGCCTCCACTATACTTTGCCCTCCAGGAAAAAGAGAGAAACCCACAGAGCTCCCTAGAAGCCTCAGCGACAGGGATGCAAATGCCAGTGGCCCCCACCTGGAACCTGGTTTGGAGAAGCTGCCCAAAGCAGCTGAGACATGCCATGCGCAAGCCCAGGCCAAGTGCACCCAGGGGCCTAGGGAGACGAGCTCTTCTCCGGCCCGCAGAGTGTCTCTGGACCCTGAGCCCCTCTGGGTGTCCAAGTTGCTGAGGAAGATGGAGAAGGCCTTCATGGCCCACCTTGGCAGTGCCACCGCGGAGCTCCGAGCCCGCTGGAGCCTGCAGAACAATAGCCTGCTGGACCAGATGGTGGCAGAGCTGCAGCAGGACCTGGGCCTTCGGCTCCGAGATAGCACTGAGAAAGAGCTCCAGAAGATCTGGAGCCAGGCAGTGGGGAAGAGGCCGGGGCCGGCCCGGGAAGGCCTCAGGTGGGAGATGGCCCTGCAGATGGAGCAGCGCAGGCGCCGTCTCCAGGGCCTGAGGTACCTCTCGGCCTTCTCCGGGCCGGCTGGAAGCCAGGGGCCCGGCCCCTTCCCCACAGAGGAGGAGGATGCACCAAGCCTCAGCGGAGCCCTGGGGACCTGGCTGGTTGGGGAGGCCGAGGGGGAGGAGTTTTGTCCCTGTGAGGCCTGCATGAGGAAGAAAGTGATCCCCACGTCCCCGAAGGACACAACGGGGGCATCCAGGGCACCCATCCAAAAGGCCTTCGACCTGCAGCACCTTCTGCAGAAGAAGAAAGGGGCGTGTGCTCGTGGCGAGGCAGCAGAGGCAGCCCCCGAGAAGAGAGGGATGGAGCTGCTTCAGGGGGACCCCTTGGGGACAGGGACTGTCCAGGGGTCCACTGAAGGCCTGGAGCTGGGGTTAGACCAGGACCCTGGGACAGAGGGGTGGGGCGAGGGTGAGAACAGCCAGACCCTTGGCAAAGACGGAGACCCCCGAGGGAGGGAGGAGGAGGCAACTGCTCAGAAGAGAGAAGGGAGCACAGGAGCTGGACGAAGCAGTGTCCCAGAGGCAGCAGGTGGGGAGGAGCAGGGCTCTGGTGGGAAGGAAGAAAACACCGAGGAGGGCTCTGGGGCTGACACCGCCTTGGAAGGTGAAGCCTCTGGAGGAGGTGACCCAAGTCCAGGAGGACAGAACGATGGTGTCAAAACTGCAGAGGACCCGGAAGCTGAAGGAGAGGGGCAGCCAGAGTCGGGAGGGGGAAACCAAGGGGAGGAAGAAGGTAGCCCGCAGGTCGGCTGGGGACAGGGCCAGCCGGGTGAGACTTCTGGAAACAGAAGCCCAGATCAAGAGGGGAAGCCAGCACTGCCGCCTACCCCAGGTGGAGATAGCCCCTGCCGGAGGTCAGGCTGGAAAGCAGGTCTTGCCTCCTCCAGCACATCATCTCTGGGAAACTGCTCTCAGCTCTCTCAGAAAGGCTCTGTAGAAAAGCCTTTGAATGGAGACATGAGGAGCTTCGAAGAGGAGTCCAAGGTACTCCCTGGTCCAGAGAGAAAAGTCACAGATATGTACCCAGAAAGCTCCACTTCTGAGCAAGAAGAGGCCCCCTTGGGGCCAAGGACTCCAGAGCAGGAGGCAGGCGAGGCCTCTGGCCTAGAAGCTGAGAAGGTAGTTAAAACTTCTGCTTTCACAGAAAGGAGGTTTAAAAACCTCACCATGGACAGAACAGATGGCTTTGGCCACGATGACTTAGATTTCTAGAGATCCAGCCGCAAGGCAGTCATGAGTCTGTTTTTAACCTTTTGTCTACACACCTGAGCGTGGCTCGGTCCCCTGGAGATGTGCAAAGAGCTTGGAGAAAGATCAGGACTTGCCAAGGACACAGCCACACCATGCTGTCCTTGGGTTCTAAATTCTGGAGCTTCACAGGGCCCTGCTGGCCAATCCCATGCGTGGTGTGAAGGAGGGTTACCTCAGATCTGCCCTGTTATCCGAGGTCAGCTGGACCCCACCAGTTTCCTGGTGAGCCCAAAAGGATGGAACTGACTGGAAAAGTTCCAGGAGAGTTTTGTTTTGTGTTTGTTTTTTGCTCTCATTCTTTTGCCTATTGATCTCTGGTTATTTTTCTCCTTGGCCTCTCTTGGCATTCACCTCGTTCAACTTTGAGGTGTTTTTTTCTAGTCTTGAGTATATTTGGTGACTCTGCAGATGTGAATACTCGGAAGACACAGATAAATTCAGGGTCATTGGACAAAGTTTGTTCTCAGCCCCAAAGTCCAAGTGTATGTCCTTAATTCATATATATATTCATGAAAATACATATTGGTAATGGAAAAAATTGGGAAAGGCAAAATAAAGCAGGAAGAAGGAAAAGTAGTCATCCATAGTCCCATCACTCAGAGATGACTAATGTAACAGTTGCCTACAGTTCTTTCCCAATTTTTCCTAACGGTTTGATAGTTGAACTCATCCTTATACACTTCTTTTTTTATTTAACAATATAGGAATTTCCCCAGTTTATCTCAAAATCTTCACAAAACTTTTTTTCATAAAACTATTTTTAATGCCTGAATAATTTATTATGCAAACATAAAACACTTTACTTTGCCATTTTCCTAGTGTGGGCCATTTAGATGGGTTTCGTTATTTTTTTTTTTCTTAGCATTCTTCTGCCCGAACTGCAGATGATTTCCCTAGAATAGATTCCCAGGCGTGGAATTACTTAGCCAAAAATATCAGCTTTTTTCGAGGCTTTTGATATCATGCTGCCAAATTGCTTTTCTAAAGGTCTGTACTAATTTACATCACCTGGCCCACCATGAGCTCATCAGTGTTTGGTATAGCCATTAAAAATGAGAAATCTTTTGCTAATTTTATGGGCAAAAAATAGTACCTGACTTTAATGTGGTACTATTTTTGATATATTTGATTGCTAGTGAGATTAAAGAGTTTTCTGTTTATTAAAAAGCTATTTGCATATAAATTTTATGTGTATGCTTTTCACCCATTTTCAACTGGGATCCTAGCTTCTTTTTTTTTTTTTTTTTTTTGATGAATTGATTTACCTGTGCCCTTTATAATTTTTTGTTAATATTCTATTTATCATTTTTGAGATTTAAAAAAATAATGCCCTTTCTCTACATCGTTCCACAGCTAGCCTTGGACCGGGCCCTGCCTAAGTAGGGAGCTCCTGATGGGGCAGAATTTCTTTGACTGGTTCTCACCAGCATTCCTGCTCATATATGACCATTTTGTGTACTCGGAATTATTAAAGTAGAAGTCGATGCTACAAGGACAGGTATTGCTCCCTGGTTGTTTAAATGTAAATATTAATAATCAAAAGAAAGCAAAAATAAAAATAAGTAAAAAATTAAAAATAAGTGAATGTTGGGTGTAGGCCATGTCCTCATGCCTGCAGTCACCTGTTCTGTTTCTGAGTGCTGTAAATGTTCTTAATAAAATTTGGTGTGCTGTAAAGTTTTCTGTGGAGGTGATTATTCTTTTCCTTTTTTTTCTTAAGATTTTATTTATTTATTTTTTTGGGGGGGGGGAGAGGGAGCAGGCTAAGCAAACTCCACGCTGAGCACGGAGCCTGACTCAGGGCCTGATCCCAGGACCCTGAGATCGTGACCTGAGCCAAAATCAAGAGTTGGTTGCTTAATCAACTGAGCCACCCAGGTGCCATATGTGTCTGTGTATACACACACACACACACACACACACACACACACACACGCATGTGCTGGTGCCCTAGCCAGAAGTCCTCAGTGGAACAGATTGTATTGTGAGCTTGCTTTAAATATGGTGACATGCAGAGTTGTCCAGAACTTGTCACTGTTAGTTGACATGATGTATACACCATGCACTTCTTCTGTGGCTTGAGGTCCCCAGTCATCCCCTAAGAGATCTTCCAACCTTTGTGTTTCCTAATCTGACCTCCCCAAAGGACAGCCAGCCATCGCTGGCACTCACTGACCTGGCACTTAATTAAAATGGCGTTGTCCGTTCCTGATCATGAGAATGAAACAGCATGGGATTTGGAGTCGCACGACCTATAAGCTCAAGTCCCAGCGCTAGCACCTCAGTTTCAACCGTGAAAACCGTGTTTTCCTCATTGCGTTGTTGAGAAGTTGATGAGATAACATATGAAACTTCCTTGTACTCATGTTGGGAACATAGCAATATTTTCATTAGCACTGCTGTGTTTTCAATGCCTGTTATGTGTCAGTGACCATATTAGATGCACATGTACTCTTTCCAACATGTCTGTGAACTAGGCAAGTCCACACTGTCACCTCCGTGTCACAAATGAAGTAATCGCAACAGGGAAGACTTACATAAACTTCTCCAAGCTCACACAGCTCGTTAGGGGCAAAGCCAAGATTTAAACACAGATATTTCAGAGTCTAAAGTCCCTATCCTTTTTCCATTGTATCATATTTTCTTCATTTCAATTCAGGCCCCATAAATAAATAACTAAAGGTGATTAACACTTTGTTGAATGAACTTACTGCAAAATAATTAAGACTTAGAAAAGTAAATTAGATGGGATTGGTTTGCTCAACTGATTGCATTATGTCCTTAGTAATAGTCTACTTATATATAGATATCAGGAGCTGGAGATAAGCTGGTTTCATAAAGCTGAGAGTTAAGCTGGAAAATTATCTCTCTGTGGGATTCTCCTTTTAGTTACAAACCCACCTGCCTTAAGCTCCCAAATATTTCTGCCCTTTACCTCTTAAAAATCGTTGTTAATGGAAAACTGTGTTTTCTTCTGACTTGAGGATAAAGAATTCAGGGCCATTCCCAAAAGTGGGGCTCTTTGTGTCTCCTCCCCTGCCCCCTCCTCACTGTAGCGATCATACGGCATACCACGGTCCAGGCCTCTGACATGTAGCATCTAGGGAAAATGTTGGCATTCCTGTAGTCTTAGCCCGAATCCCTGATTCCAAACTCGATTCATTCATCCCTCAAAGCATTGCTCAAGTCCTTCTAACATTTCCAGCCAGGGATTTCTCCTTGAAGTAAGTTGGAGAGAGAAGTGAGCAGTGGTAAAAAGAAGCCAAGCTCTTCTCCCCATCCTGTTGTCTAGCTGGTGGGGATCAGAGACTCTAGCTCAAAAGGACCGTCTTTCAGCGGCTGGGAACCAAAGAACCCCATGTCCAGGTCCCGTGCCCAGAGATTCTGACCCTATTGGTTTGAGTTAAGAGTCCCAGCACAGCTAAGTTGTCAAGCTCTCAGATGTATACAGTGCTCTGCCAAGCTGGCTCATCCCTGACTTGGTCCAGCTTCTTTTTCCCAGGTGAGAAGACAGACCCATCCTGAAAAAAGGAATTGTCTAAAGCACACAGCGGGATAAGTGGCCATGCTGAGACCAGATACCATATCTCACTTCAGACTCCTCCTTCCCAGAGCTGAGAGAGGTCCTGCAGAGGAATGGGACGAGCAGGAAACCCACTGCCTTGTAACCCAGAACTGCGCTCTTCTCACCTGCATGCCCACCCACCTTCCTCTTCCCCCACTGCATCTGAGTCTGTCCCTGAGACCCAGGCTTTATCTCCACAAGAGCCCTTCGGAGGCATCCAGGGGAGAAGTAAACTGACCTTCTACAAAGCTATCCAGGCGGGTGCAGCTTGGAAGGGGACGCATCCTGAGAGATTTCCAAACAAATCATTGTCCAGGGTTTCCACCTAGACAACTTGATCCAAGTGGACAGTTCTACTCAGAAAATTCTGATTCAGTGTATCTGAGGTGGGACTCAGGAATGTGCATTTTCACAAACCCCTGGAAGAAAGCCCACATACCTGCCTCTCCCCCACTGCCTCGCCAAGTTGACTCCTCTATGGTCAGACCATCCCACCAGAACTGGGGTTCCTCAGAGAGGCTGTGCACCTCTCCTCAGCCTTGCCAGCCTGCCAGCACCCCCCCAATGCACACACACAGTTTCCCTGCTCTCCCTCATTATGTGGTCTGCCCAAGGGAGAGTGTAGGTCAGCCACAGCAACCTTTCTCTGCTTCCCTCTCTGGAGAAGCAACTAGGGTGGGTAAAGAGAAATCTCCCTCCGCTGGTCCTCCCACCCACCCCCGGACCCCAGATCCAGAGGCACAGCTGGCAGCCCGGGCCCCCTGTTTGTCTATGGGTCTCACCTGGGGCAGACGCAGACCTGGGCAGCAAAGGTCCCTGAGCTCATGCCCTCTCCCTAACCAAGCTACCCCGGGCAATGGGACCCACACTTGTTTCATGACTTCCACTGGAGCCCCCCCCCCCCCCCCCCGCCACAGGCCTGACCTCCTGGAGTACTCTCAGCCCAGGGTCTTCAACCCTCAGACTGGTGGCCATTCCAAGCATCTGAGCTGAGCCACAGTATCCAGGGGGAGAGGGCAACTGCTTCATGCTGTTCCACCTCTAGGCAGGTCTCCACTTTCCCACTGCTTCCACACCCTCATCCCAGAGGCACTTGGAGACCCTCATTTGTGCTTTCATTCCTACTGGGGTTTATAGAGCCCTACCCATAGCCTCCTGGGTTTTAAGTTTTTAGACTTGGCTCGCAGGTGATCAAACCCAAGGTGCCCAGTTTGTTGATGAGAAGACCGATCGAAGGCCCCACAGGTCAGGAGCATGACCCAGCTGCTGCCATGCCTCCCCCACTTTCATCCACAACCCCCTCCCATCTCAAATCACTGTCCTGCACCACACTCTTGGCCCTAAAATCATGGCTAGTGGTGTATTTTCCAAACAACATGGTGTTTTTTAGTCATCATCCTGATTGGTAGGGCCCACACTCCTAATGATGCCCCTCTGGCTCATAACAATGTCTCATCCTCATGGGCCTCCAAGCATCCAGCTCTGGCGCTTCCTCCACGACCTGCATGTGAACCTGAAATGCTGAGGTCTCCCCATGCCAGCCCACTGCTCTTCTCTTCTCTTCATCTCCCCGAATGCCCTCACTCGTTCTTGCTGTTGCTGCTCCTAGTTTTGGGCTGATGACTCCTAAATCCAGGACTTCAACCCAGGCATCTCCCTGAGCTCTAGCTCCTGCATTTTTGTCAGGAGCAACACATGCACAGTAGAACTCATCTCCTTTTCTCAGCCCGTTCCTTTCCATGTTCAGACCTGGCACATGCTCAGACCTGGCATCATCTCCATCCATCCTACACTCATCTCTCCCTCACCAAGCCCATAGCACCACCATCATCCTAGACTCATCTCTCTCCCACTGTACCCATGGCACCACCACCATGCTTCCTAAACATCTCTCCCCCACCACACCGTGACACTACCACCATCCATCCTAGACCCATCTCTTCCCCACCACACCGACACCATGGCACCACCACCATCCATCCTAGATTCATCTCTTCTTCCACCAAGTCCATTAAGCCCTCTCTCTCTATTCTACTAAAACTTCCCAGGCCTGGTGATTCACTCCTCACCATTACTACCATCTGCCTAATAGGGTCTTCCCATTTCTCACCTTGCTCCATTCAAGTTTATCCTCACCATGGCCACCATCACCTATCTAAAGGATAAACCTCACCAAGTTACTTCTAGTTATAATTAAGCAAGAGCCTGTCATCAACCAGAATGATGCTCCTGACTGCTTACAAATTACCCTGCAGATTATAGACTTATCTACCACAGGCCTTTTTGTTAATGACATGGAAAAATCTTAAGCTTTTACTAAAGTATTTTGCTAAGCTTTGGGAAGAGGCCATTTTCTTCCTATTTGCTTTTCCCAGGACTGTGACCACAGCGTGTTCTTGCCTGGACTCTCCTTGAGGCAGCAGTGGAGAAATGGCAGCACAGTGGTTAGCAGTGTGGACTTTAGAGGTGGACTGAGGAACCCTAACCTCACCTCCACCATCAGTCGCCATTTACTTATGCTCCTTCATGTGAAAATCAAGGTAAATAATAGTACTCACCTCCTGGAGTTGTCAAGATGGTTCAGAGAGAACACACAAAACAATTAGCATGGTGCCTGCTCACCTGGAAAGTTGTCAATAAATACTATCAGTTGTCACTGTTACTTTGTTCTTTTTATTCAGCAGAGTCAGCTATGTCAGT